CCAAATATAATTTATATGAAGAATTTAGAAGTTTACGCTCCCTGCTCAAATCACCTGAAACTCTCTGATGCCCTCTGCTGGATGTTAGACGGACACGACCGCCTTCTTTGCCCTCATTATCTTCAAATCCAGCGGATGTTAACAAACGGAGACATGAAAGCTCTCAGATGAGCTTCAGATGTTCCTCCCTCTGTGTTCTGTCGTGGACTTGTTTCATTAAAGCTGCTGCACACGTTTCAGTGTCAGCAGGTTGTTTGTGGAGTGGAGCAACAAAGGCAAACCAGATGTGTGGATGTGTTTGAATTTATAGAAACCAAATCTGAATTTATTCTCAGTTCAATAAGCACCGAAGGTAAAACAAACAAACAAACAAACAAACAAACAGAAAAAACCCTGAAACTGTATAAAGGACGAAAGAAATTTATTATTATTATTTCCCCAAATGAGCGACTTTAGAACAACAGTTGAAATCTTAGCAAACAAGATGGTGAGAAAAGTATAAAATCAGAGAATATTTACACAGCAGCATAGTTTTATTTTTTTGATAGAGAAAGACGGGAATATAAATGTGAAACTATCGATAATATAAATCAATATTATTCTTTTTCTTTCGACTGCTCCCTTTGGGGACTGACACAGCAGATCATCCGTCTCCAACCTATAAATAAATATTTACTCTTTAAAATTTCCGCATTTAAAAATAGTTTTAAACTTTCCAAAGCAAAGCTGCCAAAAGAATCTGAGGAAACTACAGTTTTCCTTTTATATGCAGAACATTTTTGCATTGTGTTGAAATAAAATCATAAAAATCAACCCACACATGTGCAATAACACTGCTATATGTGCAATTCTTTTTCTGACAAAGTTGTACTTTTGTATTTTCTTACTCAGTTGTATATAACATGTGTATTCCATTTTATTCTATTGTATATAGTATTTTATTTTATTGCATTCCAGTGTTTTCTAATTTTTGCTACATAACTTTGCACTTTTGCTGTAACGAAACAAATGGAGCAAAATATGGGCGTGTGTGGTTGGAGGATGTGTTTGTGCATGCGCGA